TTACTTGTGAGTTGTTTCGAAATTTATGTCGGTGCAATCTTATAGCTATTGTATTGTGTGTATGTGTGTTCCTTTATATGCATTCTAAAATCTTTGCCATCACTTTTTTTAGGAGGCTTAGCAACAACAATTTAACTGGACCTATTCCTGGGACCATTGCGAATCTCACTGGTCTTTCGTTCTTGTACGTATTCCTTCTTGTCACTGGATTTCTAGTTCAGACTGCTGTGAAGTGATGATATTATTAACTTCTATGATATTGTTGTAGGGATGTATCCTTTAATAACCTCAGCGGTCCTACTCCGAAAAATCCTAGCAAAAGGTTATAGGTAAGCTTCTTTGCAGGAAGAAGCAATTTTATTCCATATTGATAAGCCTAATCTCAAATGCTCTCTTTCCTATTTAGAATGATCTTTCTGATAAATCATTTTTGTTCACATCAAGCTCCATGTACTTTTTCATTGTGTAGTATTTCAGGGAATGACTTCCTTTGCACTTCTTCGTATGAACAAAGTTGCACTGGCGTTTTAAAACCATTAAATGGTATGCTGATGAATCTATTGAAGTGATTTCATTTTGCCATGATTCGCTTCATTGGTACCAATATAACATGTTTGATCATCTAATGGCAGGCTCAGTTTCATCTTCTAGAGCCAGTGGATACCATCGTCGGGTGTTGTCTGTTGCCATAGCAATCAGTTCCGTGTTTGTGGTTTCTTTGGTTCTGCTTGTTGGTGGGTGCATTGGCACCGATCTCGTATTTTGGTAACATCATATGGTACTGCCGAATCTCAATGTATGCTATTTTTTAACACCGAGTTGGTGTGATCATTAAATTTTGATTTTGTTTTTTTGAATTTCAGTGCAGCATGATTATGATTTGGACATTGATCATGTCAAGAGGTTCTCCTTTCGGGAACTGCAACTTGCTACAAGAAATTTTAATCCCAAAACATTCTAGGACAAGGAGGTTATGGAGTTGTTTATAAAGGATGCCTTCCAATAGGTCCTTCATTGCAGTTAAAAGGCTAAGAGATCCGAATTTTACCGGAGAAGTTCAATTCCAAACTGAAGTAGAGATGATTGGTTTGGCACTTCACCGTAACCTCTTGCGTTGTATGGCTTTTGCATGACACCCGATGAAGGTTGCTTGTTTATCCTTATATGCCAAATGGAAGCGTTGCTGATCGCTTAAGAGGTTTGTTTCTTTCACTGATCTTTTAAGCTACCGTCCTCATCACACCAGGTTAATGTCTTGTCTCGTGCTTGCATTTCCATTTTCTACGTCATGCATCTCAAATTTAAGCTTACATCCGTTTACGACTAGTCTATCTGCTATCATCTAATAATTTGATTTATTTTTAGCAGATGCTTGTCGTGAAAAGCCTTCTCTAAATTGGAATAGACGAATGCATATTGCCCTTGGAGCTGCCCGTGGACTTTTGTATTTACATGAGCATGTAATCCGAAAATTATTCACAGGGATGTGAAGCTGCAAATATTTTGCTCGATGAAAGTTTCGAAGCTGTGGTAGGGGATTTTGGTCTTGCTAAGCTCTTAGATAAAAAGGAATCACACGTCACTACTGCTGTGCGGGGTACTGTAGGACACATTGCCCCGGAGTATCTTTCAACAGGACAGTCTTCCGAAAAAACAGATGTATTTGGATTTGGCATACTACTCTTGGAACTCATCACAGGACAAAAGACATTAGATGCTGGGAATGGACAGGTTCAAAAGGGAATGATCCTTGACTGGGTAAGTAATTATCGAAGCTGTCGAAGCATGCATCTTTATCGTTGCCTGTTCAAGTGCATTCTTTTCTTAGAGAAAGTGATAGATTCCTAACGCCTGCTGAAAACATTGTAAATCATACTTCACGTTTTAAATTAATTCGTGTGATCGTTAACAAAATGGATGTTGTCTTTGTTATAACAACAGCCGGCAAAAACCAGTCTTTTGGGTTGTGATGCTGATTTTTTTCTTCATCTATTGTCCATATTTAGTTTTGAAGATATCCTATGATTGATGCAGGTTAGAACATTGCAGGAAGAGGAGAGACTTGAAGTGCTAGTGGATAGGGATTTGAGGGGATGTTTCGATCCAATAGAGTTGGAAAAAACAGCAGAACTGGCTCTTCAGTGTACCCAGTCGCAACCCCACCTTCGTCCAAAGATGTCGGAAGTTTTAAAGGTCCTTGAAGGTCTTGTGCAGTCGGGAACCGAGGAATCACAGGTGGGACAAACCTTTCTGAGACTAGGGAGTGGAGCTTCTCCAGGAATTATAGTGACATTCATGAAGAGTCTTCCTTCATCATTGAAGCAATGGAGCTTTCCGGACCTCGGTGATCGAAGTACAAATTGCCCCATTCCCATCCGTCTATAACCGATCGTTGCAACCCGAGAGCTAGTATTTACATTATTCTTTTCGGCTCTATTGTCACTGGGGAATTGTAAGGTCCAGAGTCTTATTTAGGGACTCCCCTAGAATTCTGAGTCTCAAGATGTGGAGAGTAGTCCTGGTTGTGCAGACTATATGGTTAGGAGTGTATGAATTTAAGATTTGGTTGTAATATAATACTAGATAAAAGTAAATGATGTTTTCACGGTGAATTAAACTTGCTTTTCTAAATCGTTACCAGTTTAAGATTGATTGTAATACAGTACAAGTATACCAACTTTCAAAAGTTAACGAATCGAGTGAAGTTGTAAAAATTCAGTATGAAATAGCAGCAAGATGTAAATAACAAGTTATACGATATACTATTCAATAACCTCTTATAAATATATGTTCTTCAGTCGGTTGCCTCTAGAATTGGGTCTGATTCAAACTTGGAGTAATAGTTTGGGCCCAAGTGCATATGTAACAGAAATAAACTCTAGCCCTAAACTCTCACTACGATCTCTAAACGCAGGTGTCTTCTTTGTCTGTCCGCCGCTGCTCCAAGCTATTGTGTTTCACCATGGTACCTCTCCTTCTCTCAATATCATTTCTTGGTTCACTCATCTTTTCCTTATGTCTAATTGACTTTTTCTAATGTTATTCTTTTTATGACTATGAAAGGCATCGGAAAAGAAGCTATCGAACCCAATGAGGGAGATTAAAGTTCAAAAACTTGTCCTCAACATCTCCGTCGGTGAAAGCGGAGATCGCCTCACCCGTGCCGCCAAGGTAATCAACTGAACCCGCAAAAAGGGACCCAGTTTTCTTCTTTTTGAACGTTTTAGTAAATATTAGTTTGATCCATCTTGCTGTTGTTTAGGTCTTGGAACAACTCAGTGGTCAACCCCTGTCTTTTCCAAGGGTAAAATTTTTCAACAAAATGATGCCTTTTTTAGTTTCTTTTTCTGTCGGATTGTGTTGTTAATGAAATTCAAAATGGATTTGATGTGAGCAGCTAGGTACACTGTGATCTTTTGGAATCAGGCGTAATGAAAAGATTGCGTGCTATGTTACTGTTAGGGGAGAGAAGGCTATGCAGCTTCTTGAGAGCGGTTTGAAGGTTAAGGAGTATGAACTTTTGAGGAGAAACTTCAGTGATACTGGATGCTTCGGATTCGGTATCCAGGAGCACATTGATCTTGGTATCAAGTATGTTCTTAGTGTGTCTCTTTATCAAATTTTGTGTTCCAATTGTTGTTTCTACATTTCTTTCTAATGCGATTTGGATACTCAAGTTTGAAACTTTATTATTAAATTTGAAGGAATATATAGCACATAGTTTGGAGTTTTTTTTTCTCATAGGTTTGGATTTTTTTATGTTTAGAACTTAAATGGCAAAGCATTTGCTTGTATCTTGCAATGCATTATTGGTTGGGTAGGGGTGAGTGTGAGTAAAATATTTTTTGAGGTATTCGAGTTAACAAGTCTTATTTATACCTCAAATTTTATTTGAAATTTTTTCACGTCGAGTTGAGTTTATAAATTCAAGTTGTTAAGTTTATGTTTAAATTTAATTATAAATATTTATAACATTATGAAATTATTTGACTCCAATTTACATGTTTTCTATAATCATCTACAATATATATTTTTTCATAAGTGATATACATATATCATTCGGAGTTGAGGGACTAGACTCAACTTGAAAACCAATCCACTACTACAAAAAATTTTAATTTATTCAAGTTTTTTTTATAACTTGACTTTAATTGAAATTTTTTTCGAGTTGATTTGAGTTTATAAAATTGCGAGTCGACTATCGAGTCAATCAAGTTGAGTTTTTTTTTTTAATTGAGTCCAGTTAAAAAGATTGGCTTTTCGAGTCTAATCGAGTTTTGTTCACTCCAGGCTGGGGTTAGGATGTACGAATGGTATATGAATAGTGATTCAACTTTTAACTGGGTTAAGTTTATCTTGTGGCTTGAAACTAGCTAACCCCAGTTCAGTGTTAGAATTACATGAATACTGGTTGGCATGACAGAATTTGTGGATATCTGTGCTTTTATTCTCATGATAAATTCATTCTGTTGCTACTTGCGTTCGATATTGATGCCATATATTCCATGAAGGTATAAATTACACTCTTGTTCTCTTTCTAGGTATGACCCTTCAACTGGTATCTATGGTATGGACTTCTATGTTGTCCTAGAACGTGCTGGATACCGAGTTGGTCGTCGTCGCAGGTGCAAGTCTCGTGTTGGAATCCAACACCGAGTTACCAAGGAGGATGCCATGAAGTGGTTCCAGGTCAAATACGAAGGTGTCATCCTTAACAGTCTCAAAATATTGGAGCTTAGGAATGCAGTTACGAGTTTGGTTGAGTTGTTTTGAGATTTGGTTATTTGATTTTGACTTATTTCTGTATCAGTTTTTTTGTTTTCCTGAAGATATATTTTTAAATCCAAAGTACCTTCTCTGTTGGTTTCACCACTCGATTAATATATAACCAATTGGAGAATGCCTCTCTTTTCAGTATTTTGAATTGAACTGCTGAAAATTAAGTGAAGGATCAGCATTTGTCTACTGAAGAAAGGGGGAAAAGTAGTTACTTTTCCGCAGACACTGCTTCAAAGTTCTCAGTAGTCCTTGTTCTTGGGGCTGTTGGGTGTAGAATTGGCGACTTCTTCATAAATTAGATGGTGGCCTTGATAAATTGAAATCCTTATTTAGTTTCTGTATGCTTGCCAACTCTGATCTCTCATTTGTTGCCACGATTCGATTTTCCACTCAGGAGTCTTTGTTCTAGGCTGTTGGGTGCGGAATTGGCGACCTCTTCATAAAATTGGATGGGACCTTGATAATTGAATTCCTCCATTGCAGCAGGAGCCTTCTCCTTCCCTTGCCTTTTCTTAGGGTTGCCACTTCTCCATCCAATGCCTTGGCACCTTTTTTTGTTCCAGTGTCTGCAAAATCTGTTAAATTCGTTAGCTTGACAGTTACCATGTTGACATGTTTTGTTGGTAGTATTAATAATTTAAAAGTCTATGGAATTGGAAACCCAACAGTGTTACCTTGTAGGTTCTTTCCTGATTTGTGAAGAACATCCATAACTGATTCAGTTGTGGACTTATCATTCGATGAGTTGAAACTTTTAGTTTTAGCCTCTGATTCTCAGCCTTAGCGATTGAAGATTGTACTTTCTAAACAAGGCAACTATCTCTTCCCGACTGGACGAGTCGGTGGTTTAATGCCGTTACTACTCGATTCCTCGCTTCCACCATTCTTTCTTCCCAAGGCTGGGTAAAAACCTTTCCTACAACGGCTTCCTTTTGTGTTAACATCAGATTCTATGCTTGAAATACTTGGCTTATGCGAGTTAAAGGGCATGGACTTATCTGCATTCTCTGCCAAATTAATAAGCTGCATCAAGGGATCATCCCTCAGATTCATGTGCTCATGTATGAATAACATAACGCCACTTGCTTCAATAAACTAACAAAGTAATGAAACAGGATGCGAATTAACATTGAAAGGTATTGCATTGAAGCACAAATACCCTCTTCAGATGGCTGACTTCAAATGTTGTGTCTTATAGCGGATTCTTCAAATGCAAGGGAGAGATTTGTTTCATGAGAAATATGAAGTGTGAAAAACCATGGCCGAAGATTATTACCTGTGAGAGATAAACAGGGTTTCCCAGCTTGGGTAATTGTCTGTTTGAAGGGAAAGAAAGCGAAATGAGATGGAGATCGAAAGGGAAGAGAAGAAGCAGCAGCCATGTTTCGTTTGCAAAGCCTTTCAGTTCCAAATGCATTGTATCCACAAGTTATATACTTCAAATCATTTTGTTTTTTTTTTCTTAAAATTGCTAGTCCACACTTTTTCAGGAGCGTGCACATCACATACCAAACGTATTATCTAACTATTGGCTTTTGGTTGAAATTTTCCTAGAAACATGGCTGAAACGGCACTTAACTTGTCTCTTTCGCCTCTAAATCGAAACCAAACCCTTTAAGAGAAAATTCATATCCAACAATGGTTACTTTATCCATGAACATTCTTCAAAAAGCAAAACTTTCTGTCTCCATTTTTGAGTTCTTGCTGTATTCCACCAACACAAACCATTGACTACCTGGTTACAGATTACAATGCCAAAATCAGTCAAGTCTGTCAAGTGGGTAATCTTCACATTTCCCAATGGCCATGGTTTGCTTTGCGTGTCTCAAGAATATGAGGGCTCAAGGGTTCTATCTTATTAGGCAACTTGTGGAGCTTTAGACAGGTAACTGAATATCCAAGACAGTCATTTAAGTAAACGAGATTAAGTAAATCAATTTTGTATAATTCGATACACACAAGGGGTTTAAATATTCCATTTGTAGGAACTAGGACTGTGGATATCTGAAAAGGGCATTTTCTTGGGAATAAGACTGCAGTTATATAGGGTCATACAGCTTTGGCATTTGGGATTAAGCCTCAAAAAGCAACTTCAAATGTTACTTTTTGTCTAAAAAGGAAATATACACAGCAATGCCATAGAGGAGAAAGAGCCCATTGATTCATTGGAACAAGGCAGCATTAGCAGGCAGGGTGTTTTTTCATGGTATGGGCTTCACATGTGTATTTTGCCATACCCTTTGCTCTCTTTGGTTTTTGGTGATGGAGAGAAAAACAACACAAATGCTGATTACAATGGCAGTAAACTGTAAAAGTAATGTTTCCACTTTATCTATTTTTTATGGAGGTTGAATAAATAATGACCATAATTATTAGTATCACTTGGTTCCTTGATCAACATGGTTTCATCACATGCCTTCTTTCAAGAGCTTTCTTGATTTGCATTTCTCCAAAAATCAAGAAGATGATATAAAAAAAGCTTGCCATGTATGGGAATGAAAGCTGCTGGCTTTGGAGAGGGGCCATTGCGAGACCAAAGTACAAAAGGGAAGATTTGGGCAAGCCTGCACTGCCTGGCTTTGTATGATAGATCCATGGAACCTCAAAATTTAAGACTTCATCAAGCCATAAACTATTGAAGGATCCATCGAACAGTTGAATCCTTTCCTAAAGAGTCATCATTGTTACCCCAGTAATATTAACAGCTATAAGTTCATCCACCATCACCAACTTGGCTTGTACTCATTATCTCTTCAATAATAACAAAGAATATCATCCAACTATGTTACTTCTTGTTGTACCTCCTTCCGATTGCTTCCGCAAGTCGTTTCTATGCAGCCAATCCTCCTCTCACAAGGTCTCTGGAATTTTTAGAAGTCTTCGGAATTCCATATAATTTTTATAATTACAGTATTTTAGTCTAACCGTTCTCTCCAATCACAACTAAATCCACTATGTGACAGTCAACTGTACTCACCTTATCAATCTGCATATATTCATCATCACTCTAGGTATGACAAAATCACATTTCTTCCTTCAACGCTTCTATTATAGATTTGAGTGTAAGTATGGAAAATAAATATATATGATTGTAACATCAATATATGAGTTAAAATTTCATATGAAATTTATAAAAGTAGTCTAATTAAAATTTTGGTTATCAAGAAATTTTGAAAAGATTGAGAATTTAAGTGTAATTTTGTCCTTCAGGGTGTGTTTGGTTGAGGGAATGTGAGATTCTCATGGGAATAGAATCCACATTCCCATGTTTGGTTGGCCGGAAATGTCATTTCCGATAATCTTACATTATCAATAGTGAATTTTTTTGGTTATATTACCGGGAATGTCATTACCTTCATTTCCGTAGGTATTGTTAGATTACCGACGTTTTGGACTAAAATGCCCTTAAAAAAAATTATTTCAAAAATATCCTTATTATGTCATTGAATAAAAAAAATTCTACGAAGGTTAAATTACAAATTTCTCTTTAAACTATTTTAGATTTATAAAAAAAATCTATAATTAAAATTTTATATGAAGTTCAAGGGTTAAAAATAAAATTTTACCCTTTCATTAAATTTTTTATATTTTAAATTTTATAAAAAAATTATATAATTTTATGAATTTAAATTTTTAAAGAAATATATAAATAATTTCAACTTATTAAAAAAATAAATATATAATAAGGACAATTTGGTCAAATATATATTCCAATAACCTTTTATTCCTTTAAACAAACATTATAATCTTACATTCTTGCTAAACCAACAAACACAAAATACAATATTTCTAATCCTATTATCTGTATCTTTTCCCACTGATAATCTTACATTCCGTGAATCAAACGTACCCTCATTAATTTTGATTAATTATAGCATTCACGTGATTTGTTCAGACTTTGGTTGATGTGAAATTTTACTAATATTATTATTTTATTTAGATTATCATGAACCACACGATTAATATATTTTGAAAGTTATTTGGGTATTTTATGAGGTTTTACCGTGCATAATGGGTATATCAAATTATGGAAATCAATCAACCATTCATTGCCTTCTCGATATATATTCTTGTACTGTAAAAAAAAGAAATGATGAAGCTCGGTCACAAGAATGTTTGGGTCCGATGATTCAGATTTCATTTTGAATCCCGACGGTGAAATATTTCCCTCGTCAGCAATAGCAGCACAGCTCGAAAGAAGCCCCATCAGACGGTTGTCGATGGTGAACGAAGCCATTCTTGTCAAGAAGTCGAATAACTTTTGTTAGATATATGACTCTCGATGACATATTGGATGATCAGAGGTCGAATCTCTGACGAGGAGGACAAGGCACTTCGATCGGTAAGTTAGGTCTTAAACAGTGGCTGGATACGGCAATCACTGGTGTTTGATTTCCGGCCGGTGAAGCTTTCTTGCTTCACTTACAGCACACGAGGAGAAGGTTTAAGGGAAAAAATGTCGCATGAAAGAAGAAAAGAAATAAGAAATGGTCCAACACGTGGAATTGGGAAATTGTAATATTGGGAAAAATTTAACCTTATCTTTTAGTTTTTATATTGTTATGATTATGACATAATAATTTAAATAATATCAATTTAGTTTATGATGTTAGTAATCATGTAATTAAATATTACTGTCTCTTCAAGTTGTCAGTTTTACAAATCGAGTTTATGAATTATTATTTAAATTTTAATAAGTTATATTTTATGGCGAGAAAAAATATTTTAGATTTAAGTTCGTATATTTGATGGTTTAGGTTTGTGAGAAAAAGATTGGAAGTTAAAAATCGAGTTGGTGAGCTTAAATTTAAGAGTTGTAGTTTGAGTTTTTTTTGACGCCTTGAGTCTAAATCTGAAGTTCGTGTTGTCAAATTCGCATTCAGTAAATCGTTTTTTAATGTTTTATTTTTGAATTCAATTTGGTTTCTCAATTAAGTTTAGTTTTTGACGAAAATTCAGTTTCTATGTATCCGAAGAATTATTGGATGTTGAATTCAAGTTCGAGAGTGATAAAATGGAGATTAAATGTTCGATCGTTATGACACGAAAATCGAGATAATACTCTATTACCTTTTGTATGCTTTTCGGAACTCATGGATATATGATAAATGCGTGATTGAAATGATTGGTTTATTAAATGTATTTAACTATCATCGGACTCAGACGTAAATTGAAATAAGCAGAACATTATATAAGACTCAGATAGTTCGAAAAAAGAGAAATTGGTAGATCGATCGAAAACAAATCTAAGTTCAATGATTTAATCAATTAATCAATCTCAAGACTCGTAAACTATGATTAATCTAGTTAAATGTTAAATGTTGGAAATTATGTGGATAAGAAATTATCTAAAATATTTCAAAGGGGTAAAATTACGAAAATGTCCTTATACTGCAAAAGACCAACACTTCTCTAGAAGGCGAAAAATAACTCCGAAAGGACATATTAGATCAATTATCAAAAAAATTATATATGATTGAAATGAAAGGAATTATTGAAATGTCATCGAGCTTCGTACTAACTATAATAACCTCCAACGATCAAATGATTAAATACCCTGAACGCTAAAGGAACTAGATTGCATTCAAGCCTAACTTATCGAAAGTATGTCACCCACAAACTGAATTATTGATGGTACTTTACATGTCGGAATTTAATGAAATGACTAAATTATGATCAAGTTGAATGGATTGAAAGAACGGTATGTAATTGAATTTAAGAAATGATTGAATTACTATGGAAATTTCAAAGTGATCGAAATAGACTTAACTACTAAATGTCTAAGTACCTTCAAAGACGTATAATTAAGGAATGACTCAAACAAGTCTGAAAACGTTGATAAATTTGTATGTTGTACTGCCCTCAAGGGTTTAAACCCTAGATAAAGCAAGTCGACATTTATTGATATCGTTGCATTATAGAAAAGAAATAAATACTACTGAAATATCTATTTGTCTCTTCAAGAACCGATCAAGGATGATTATGATATTTATCAGATCAACTGGTGCAGTCAGTAATAGGAAATGAATAATAATGAATTATCACAGTCCAAATGATCAGCGAGTATTGCAGTGTTGGGATCTTTGGTTCAATTAGACTCATAATCCTGAATACCCTTGATTGTTTAAGTAATAGAATCACTCTCTGTAAATCTGAATCTAGAATTATTCTGATATAAAGGTTTCTAAACACCTTCCTGATGCACCTGAATCATAACGGGTTCTAAAGTATCAACTTTAAATGTCTGATTAGATCCACTAATAATCGATCCCTTTCAATAGAACTTCGTTCCTCAAATTCGATCAAAATCAGATCTTTTGAATTTTTTTATATATTTAAAGAATGCTTTGGAGGCTATAGAGTCAAAACATAATTGG